GAACTTTTGCTCTTTGGGGATTTGTTTCCTCAACTGCCTATGTACAGATGATTCTGAGTGGTCCCATAGCAAGAGCTTGTCTGTTGATTCAAACACTGAGGTTCACACCAACTCTGTTTGCAATTTAGTGCATACCAGAAACACACAGATATTTGAATAGAGGAATTAGTGACCAGATGGAGTAGACTAGGCAGAGACTTTAAATTTTGTATTTAGGGCTGGATGGGAATCATGAATCTTATATTTGATTTTTATCCTTTGGCAAAATGCTGTTTCCCAAGGAAGTATCTTGAAACCTGCTGCCTCAGAGGGGAATCTCATTAAGTTGACCCGGGTTTAGCCCTGCCTCATTTAAGACCTGCCCTATTTTAACTTCCCTAGGAATGGTTTCTCCAGGGCTTGATCGGTGTTGTGCTGTGTGTGAGTGTCTGTTTCTTGCTTAAGGGCACCAGTCCTAAGGTCTTCCAGGCCCTTTCAAGTTCCTAGTGTGACCGCTTCCTGGATGTGGGACCTGCTTGTATGGATAGAAGTGGGGATAAAGATACATGTGCATCTTAGGGACCAATAAGATTCTGGGTGTGGCAGCTGTCCAAGGAGAGACCAGTCCAGGCAGGTGCTTGAAGGTCAAGCTTCTGGGACCACATGGTTTGACCTGCCAATCCTTCATTCTTGGACACTGGGATGATTCCTACATAGTGGGTTCCTAAGGCAGGAGTCTCTTCAATGCTTCCGTGTGATCCTCCTTGAATTCTGCTTTCCCCACTTCCGAGTTCTCATTCATAGGACAGAGCAATATCCTCTGTCTTAGGTGATGCAAGAACCAATCCCTAACACCTAGCTGTATCTAACATCTGAGCTGAGCCAAGGATTCAGTGACTGAGTTGGAGCTGGCATTCAGGAGAACCCCGAAAGGATTGGTGGAAATGAATAGTCTAAGAAAACACAGAAGAGAATGCAGCTACCTAACTTGTTCATTCCTATTCTCTGGACACTTGTGGTGGCCTCAGCCACAGTGGTCAGCAGGGAGTTCAGGCATGACATGGAAGAGCTCATATATTTTTTTAAAGATTTATTTATTTATTGTCTACGAGTGCTCTATCGGCATGTATGCCTGCATACATATCTTCCTGTAGAAAAGGGCATGAGATCACATTATAGATGATTGTGAGCCACCGTATGGTTGCTGGGAATTGAACTCAGGACCTCTGTAAGAGCAGCCAGTGCTCTTAACTGCTGAGCCATCTCTCTGTGCAGAAGAGCTCATATTTTAAGGCACAGTTTTGAGAGGCAGACAGGGCTAGATGTCATAGACTACACTGTATGTCTTGTGGGGAGCTTGGCTGCATCTCTCAGAGCAGTGAGAGACAAGGCGGTTTGAGGCTAGGGAATGACGTCATTCCCTTTCTAGGAATTCTGGCTGCTGTTTGGAGTAGGGAGGGACCATCCTTGGAGTAAGAGCCTTCCAGGAAGCTGTCCCGTGGCAGAAAGCGGTGATGGCTGGGCTGAAGATGGTAATATGAAAGAGAAAGGCAGGACAGAGCCCCTGAACCTGTATTTCTGGGTGCCTTTTTCTTTCTTTCCTTCCCTCCCTCTTTCCCTTCCTCACTCTCTTTCTTCCTCCTTCCTTTTTTCCTTTTCCCTTCCTTTCCTCATCCCCTCTTTTTCTCTTCCATCATTCTTTCCTTCCTTTGTCTTTCCCTTTCATTGTTTTTGAGACAAGTTCTCGTAATATAGCCCAAAATGGCCTGGAACTCACCATTTAGCCCAAGCTATTCTTCAACTCATGGTATGTCTCCTGCCTGACCTTCAAAGTTCTAGAATTCCAGATGTGAGATCCTGGATGCTTTCCCCCTATTAGCAGCTCAGATAGGCTCGGCTTTTGATTTAAAAAAACACATTGTGAGAGAAGTCGGGCAGGTGACAAAGCTGTCCCTATGTACGGCCTTTTTGTGTGTCCCCATTGAAATTCATGACCTTGTGGTCTGATAAAGCAAATGGTGTCAAGGGCAGACTCATCTATGCCAGTCTCTTGTCAGGCTGCATCCTCTTGTGGAGGAGCTGTCTTCACAAGAGTCTGTCACTAAGTAGGGCATAGATTACTGTCCCCATTTTTGGCCTCATTTCCTGGTACCCCAGGGCTTCTTCCTCGCCATCATGTGTTTGCCTTCCTGACTGAACCTCCTCCATGGTCTGCTCTTGCTGTTGCTTCTTCTTTTGACTATGCCATGAGGCTGAAGCCCGACCTCGTGTTCAAGCATGGGGTGCTGCCTTGCTGTACAGAATCATCACACCTCCAGGGTGGGAGGGACCTCAGAGGCCCCTTGATCAGTGTTTCCTGCAAAGTAGAGGTCCTGTTGACATTCACAGCCACCGTATAGGAAGATCTCTCATTCTTACAGACTTCCACCTGCCGTCTCAGGTGGCTCTTCCAGGTCCTCCCTTTCTCAGCTCCCTACAACCCCTTTTTATCTCTCCAAAACCTTAATTATTTTGTCACTGCAGTGTATTCAACCAGTGGCCGTCAAGCACACAGGTGTCTGGGTTTCGTTTACCTCACCACCCACTGCCCATGTACATAGTAGTATCATATACTATTTGTTAAGGAGCAAATGAACACGTGAATGAGAAGTGAGAGAGGGAGGGAGGGAAGGAAGAAATGAGGGAGGGAGGGAATGAATGATTGAGTGATCGAATAGGTAAGAGAGTGAGTGGGCGGGTGAGTGGAAAAGATAGTGAGGAGCGGGTCATCGAGTGGGCAAGTGGGCAGCTCTCACTGTTTTAAAGTCCCTCTGGGCTTTCAGCTGGAGCAAATCCTATTGTCCATGTCTGAGTCTGTTCCCTTGGTGACAGCTTCTTGTCACACACTAGGGCCACGGACCCTGCTCTCTATCCTTCAGGTACCTGATCCTACTCCACCTGAGGGCCTTTGCCTTCTGGTGCCTTGGACCCTTTGCCTTGTTTCTTCCCATGACTGGTTCTCCTCACTTGCCCTTGGGATCTCAATTCAAATGCCATTGCCTCAGATCTCTACTGACCATGCTGTCTAAAGGACTCCTTTCCTCACAGTTTTTATGTCTCTGCTGAATTCCGGGTGATTTCTCCCATCTGTCTTTCAGTTCACCACATCAACATATCTTTGTTTATCTACTGTTTAACCTGCTGAGAGGGGTCTTCTTTCAGTTATTCCATTTTTTTTTCTTTACAGGGTTATGTGCTCATGCACACACACACAAATGACAGTTGTGAGCATTCTCACTTTAGCATCCTTTCTATAATCCAAATTTTCTCTTGAAATTGAACCTGTGAACATCCCATGTGGTCTTTGGAGGTGATCCTATGATTTTCATTAATCCTGGGACAATTGAGTATGTTTCTTGGTAAATTAAAAAAAAAATCAATGGGAGAATGTAAGCATTAACCCTATGTGTAATGTAAGTTAGGGATGATGCTGTCTTGAGCTTGATGTCATTCAGCTTCTTCTAGGGGCAATGTTTTGTGCTCAGACTGGAAGCTATCCCAGTGATACCTAGGCACTGGGTGCTGAGGATATGACATGCAGAATGCATGGGGCAGGAAGGAGTGTGGGACCCTCTGGACTTCTGGGATCTACCCTATGGACAGAGCCCACAGGGCTGTGAGCGCCCCTAGTACCTGAACACTTCTGAAGTTCTCCCAGAGACTGATGGGAAGGGAATTCTGGCCCCAGAGATTCTGCAAGGTCAAGGATTTGCACTGAGTTTATTTTTGTCTCGCTTGCTAACCCCTAACATGTGATACAGCGCAAAGGAAGAAAGCTATAAATACATTTTGAAAAGCAAAGTGGTCTAAAACCTCCTACACACACACACACACACACACACACACTGAACAATGAGATCTTCATTGCAAGACTGGGCCACTGAGGATGATGCCGGGGTCGGCAGTCTCGTGAGGGACTGTTTGCAGTGGCTGCACAGCTCCACAGACCCTCAGAATCACAGTAAGGCTGGCCTTGGTGACATCAGCTGTGGGGCTGACCTTTGACCTGCACAGGGACCCTCCGCTCTGGTAGGGTATCACTTTTCAGGGGTCTCCCTGTGGGCTGTCACACTGCCCAGATATTTGAGTGAAGTTGGCAGCTTCCCTGCAGGCGCCTCTTAGCAAGCTGCACTCTCCGGCTTGTATTTCCCAAACTCCTCCCACTCTGCACTGTCTCCCACCGCCTGTGTGTTCCCTGCCTAGAAAACTATCTCTAATATCCTGTCTCGATATCACCATCTTCAGATGTTCTCCTGCCCCATGGATTTCTTTCTTGTTTCTCCTTCCTCTCTGAATTCTCATCATGCTTAGGCCTGTGCTGGAGCTCCCCCCAAGCCCCTCCCTCCTCCTGCCACACAGTTCTCTGTTCTCTCCACAGGACCCTCACACAGGCTACCTGGCAGTCTCCCCTCATGTTCGTTCTCCGCCACCTCCACTGTTCCTTCCTGGCACCAGCAATAACTGTCCTGCTTCACAGTCAGACCTGAGATGTACACACCTCTCACTGTCTCCTCCAGCTCACTGGAACTGCCACTGGGCAGTCTGAACCTCCCCCCCCCGCCCCCGATCCTGGCACCAGGGGGTCCAGAGCCTGGTAACTCTGCCAACAGAGCAGTAAACACACTGCTGAGACCCCTGTTTCTCTCTGTCTTTGTTGAGTTCTCAGAGCTTTTTTGGGCAACTGGCCTCCATGAAGGTCTTACAAACACTAGAATGCCTGTGTGCACTAGACTTGATCACATGACACTTCCATATGGTACCCCTGGCTCACAGATACCCCCAATAAAGAGGCCACTCTCTGGAAACAGCAAACAGCTTCTTTTCCTAGTGGGAGCAGCTGGTGAATTGTCCTGCAGGCATGTGGAGATACAGGGTGAGCCCCCAGCCACCCGAAGGCTGGCCCATCTGGACAGCTCTCTGTGCTAACCACATGGGTGGCCTGCTTTCTTCAGAGGCTCACCTCCCTGTGTTCCCTGTTTCAGGAAAGAAGACAGCACCACCAGGCACATCGTGCTGGCCAAGATGAATGTCTGTCCCAGATGACCAACGGAGCAGAGGTGGCCCTGTGATTACAAGCCGTATCACCACCCCTTTCCCAAGTCATCAGGAGGCAATGTTTCTCTCTGCACAAGACTGGCAAGAGCTTCAGAAGCCCCCAGCATTGGCATGGAGCAATGACAGGACCCTGGGATCTGGAGTTCCCAGGTTGGCTGTGTCACTTGCACAAATGGCTTACCCTTCTTAGTCTGTTTGGGAGTCTTTCTGCCCAGCTGACAGTCACGCATGATGGCGCCATTGCTGGCAAGTCATCCTGACACTTCAGGATGGTGGCCCATGTTTCGGGAGCATCTTGGTGTTTGAGAGCTATCCTCTGCTCACCTCCCTTATGCCATTCAGGATTTGCTGCCTTGAGGCACACATAGTATCACTGATGTCTCTTCTACCTGCAGTGGGTGACAAGCCTGCAGGGAACATTTTACACTGAGTGACCTTGGTGGTGCTGTGAACATCATGGAGGTTCTACACAAGCCAAGGCTGAATGGAGGGCTCAGCTGTGCTGGAAATTATCTAGGGAGAGCCCACTCGCAGCTGTTGTTAGGTTTTCAGAAGAAATAAACTTAGTCTAGTAGGGAGAGAGGACTCTACAGGGGATGAGACAACTGACTCTGCTCCTAACTTGCTGGTGACCCTTGTACTATTCCTTGGCCTCCAAGGTCCTCCATTCCTCACTTGTATGGTGAATGCACTCACATGTTTTCTAATTCATTGGCAGCTGTGACACCATCCAGGCTGCCGTCCCTCCTGGCATCATGGCTCAGTTATGAACACTCCTATTCCTGGTTTCTGCTGAGGAGCAGGCTCTAGCTCATGGAAAAGCTTCAGACAGACTCTCTGCTTCCAGGAAGAGGGAGGAGAGCTGCTTTTGTCAAACACAGGCCACTTCTAGCAACTATGTCCTCCACTTTTGTCCAAGAGAGTCACAGCACCCCAAGCAAGCAGCCCATACCAGCACCTTGTTCCATTTCTGTGTTCTTATCCAGGGGGTTAGCTTCCTTGAGGGGGTGTGATGTTTCCCTTTAAGCTGAAGAGTGATGGGGCTGGCTGGCTCTGGCAGATGGGTATCCAACAGGACCTTTTGATATCTAGGCACATCCAGAAGGAAAACCAGGATTCTGCCTGGCTAATCCTTCAGACACCATCTCTCTAGCTTTGCTGCTGAGTATCCAAGTGGATAATAGAAGATGGGTGGATTAAGTAGGTATATCTTGGGTTTGGGAAGAACCCAGAGCTTTGGTCAGTGAAGGAGGAGTGACAGGCAGGTGCTATAAAAACTTGTATGTTCAAATGTAGAGAATCTAGCTCACAGCAGACACACAAGCTACCCTTGGAATATCTGGCCAAAATCATATCTTTGTGACTCGTGTTTTTGTTTGGGCAAAAGGCACAGAGTGTAAACTTAGTGTCTTGATCATCTCAGCCATTCAGTTAAGTGCACTGAGCACATCTACACACTCCGTGCTGTGCTGCCATTGTCTCTCCCATCTCCCGAGCTCTTCTGTCTTCTCGGTTGAAATCCTTCTTCCACCAGGAGGGCACAGGCTGGCTCACTCCAGGACTCACAGGCACTTGATACCATGGTTTAATGCTTTACCGGATGTTGTTTTTTCATTCAACCAATAGCACTGACTAAGAGCCAGGCCAATCCTGAGCTCCTGCAACAGGAGTCCGCTGTGGTCAGCCCATCAGTGGCTCTGCTGCATGGCCCTTCTGAATAGTCCTTCTCCATGACTTTGCATGCAGGGCTCTCCATTGCCTGGAGGTGGGCTTCTCATCTGCCTGTGTCCAGCTCCAGGTGGTCTCCAGTCCTGGGTCTTACAGGTCTCTCTTCCCACTCAGCATGGATGCTGATGTGTCCTTTCCCAAGCCTGGACAGAGACTTGTGAAGCCTCCCTTACCCCTGTACCAACTTGAGCCTCTCCATCCCCACCACCAGAGGGGGGACCACACATGCTGGAATCCTTTGAGGTCAGAACCCCTTTGGGCTTTGGATGAGATGAAGCACAGATGGAAAAGCCTCTCATCAACTCACATTCTGTGGAAATAGACCAGTCTGGTGCTACTTGACTTTCATGTGCTAGCTAGAAGACAGAGACCACCTGGCAGAGGGAGGACAAAAAGGATTTCAAGCCAGAGCCACAAGGCTGCAGTTCTGTCTGAGGCTCTGACACTGAAGACACTCCCTATCCCGTTTTCTCACCTGGAAACCTGGGTTCCAGCACCCCTGCTCCAGCATCTGCCAGGGGTGCTGATGAACAGGCTGGGGGTGGGGGGAAGCACTTTGCAGACTCAAGCACAGAGAAGACACTTCATTCAGGTCATTACTTTGGTATGCATTTATGGTGCACCTACTGTGTGCCTCGTGAACAACGTGGCCTGTCTGCCTCAAGATGATTTGGAAAACGTCCCTGGACTGAGAAGGATTGTCTGTCAGATGGCTGCACTGCACATTGGTAGAGTATGACTAACAACAGCCAGAGAGTTGGCATGGCAACGTTTCCCCCTGAACTGCAAGGCAGTATGCTTAAAATAGGTATACGGGAGGTGTGGCAGCAGCCGAGATGGATAGCGCTACAGCCTGAAATGGGTAGTAGGCTCAGGGTGCTCATGCCCTTGTCTTTCCCCAGCAGGTCATCAGTGGAGGGACTGAAATGGCAGACCCAGAAGCATCTCCTATGGGAGTTGGAGGAGACTAGGCCACCCTTTCTCCCTGAATCCCAGAAAGCTTAAGTGGGACATCCTTGCCAAGGGACCCCAGATGGGGCTGACCCTGGTTTTCATGTCTCTTGTGGACTTCTGGGCCCACAGTACGGGCTCTTCTGATTGAGGGTGCAGTTCACTTAGAGCCTGAGTTTCAGTCCTCCTTTTCTATGGAGTTCCTGTGTGGGATCCTCCTAAAATACTCTTGTTTGTGGTCGGACTTACAAGACAGGTTTAAGTCTTTCTCTCCCTCAATGCTCAGGCCAGCAGAACTGATCAAAAGTGCATGGATCAGGCACGGGGTTGAAGACTGGCTGGCGGAGTACCCGGATGTGTGAAGCCCTGGGTTCCATCCCAGCCACATACACTGGATGTGGTGGTGAGCTACGGTGATCCCAGCACTCCAGAGCAGGGAGGCAGGAGGATCAGAAGTCCAACTCACCTTCAGCTAAATAACAAGTTTGAGACCAACATGGTATACATAGATCTTGCCTGAAACCAAACCAAACCATGAATTGAGCAAAATATGTTGATGTAACCTTGCCATCAAGCCCTTGGGAGGCAGAAGCAGGAGGATCCAGAGTTCAAGGCTAGCCTGGGCTATGTGAAACTATTTTATCAAAATGTTCCATTTTATCAAAATGAACCATTTTGTAATGAGATTCATCTGTGGGTCTGGTTCATCATCACTGCAGAGGATGGGGACCCAGATCTCAGGCAAGTGATCCCATGATTCCTTTGCTCAGCAGGTCATTGAGTGAGGTTTATGATTTTAGAGTTTTCTTCTCCTATAAGCTCTGAGCTGTTTGAAAGAGATTCATGGCTCCTGTTTGCTTCTGAGATGAGATCCTAGGTCTGGAAGGTGAAACTTTCCTCCCCCCTTCTTTCTTCATTCTGTTCTTCCTTCATTCTCTCCTTTCTTCCTCTTCCCTTTTCTGTCTTTGGTGGGGGGAGTTGTTTGAGACTGTCTCATGACCTTATGGAGCCCAGGATGGTTTTGAACTCCAGATTCCCCTGTTTCTGCCTTCCTAGTCCTGGGATTGCTAGCATGTGCTACTCCTGGCTTGGTAAGTGAGACCTTTTGAGGTATCAACTTGTGAGAATGGGGGCACTAGACAGTTCTGTCATCTTTCAGACACTCCACGTGTTCTCCTTGTTGAGACAGTGGGTGCTGGGCTCACCTGCAAAGACTGTCCTGGGTGGGGCTTGAGCTCACCTTCAGAGGCTATCCTGAGTGGGGCCTGGGCAGGGATGCTCTGGGGAAGCTGAGTGGGGCAGCTGTAGAGATAAATATCCACTTGCAGACAGTGGACCCCAAATCCCTTCCAGCCCTGTCCTTCCCCGAAATCATTAAGTTTCCACACGCCACTGTGAGCATCTCCTGTGCTCTATTGTATTTATTTTTACTCTTCCCTGGAAAAAACTGTTCAGGCAGGAGGTTCTCATCTTTGGAGTATTTCTGGCCACAAGGCAGTTTGGTAACATGACAGCTGAGCCCGTTTTAAGCCTCAGTGATTCTTGTGGAGCTAGAACACACACTGAGAGATGGCCTTCAGTTACTGTGACAAGTCCTGATTCTGGGACCTTGGTGGCCTATCACTGAAGAACTATCTGAGAACCCAGAGGATGAAAGGTGCCTCTGGCAACTTCCTTGCATCCTGAATTCTTCTGGGCTAGAAGCATCTGCCATGAGAGGCAAATCTATCAACTGCTCAATGAACAGCAGCAGCTTTCTCTCCTGCCTTGGTGCCACTGGCCTGGTGCGCACCTGTTTGGCTTTGCCATCCATACTCCAGTGCCTTACAGAAGCAGAGGAGAGAACACCCCGGAGGCCTGATGACATGGTTAGCTCCCTTCCTCATATAATGGAAAGTTCTAGAAAAAGATAATTCATACCTTGGACCTAAATGCATTTGGAATAAGTCAGTTCACCATGGGGTTGAATGGCAAGGTTTTCTTTATCTGACCTTTGCTCATGCTCTGATTTTGGCTACCCTCCAATCTGACTTACATTACGGGAACAATAAACCAGGTCCACAAAGGATAAGGCTGTCTTCAAAAGCATGGTTTTTGGAGGCTGTTTTTATGACAAAGAGTGGCCTCTTGATGTCTTTACATTATGAGCAAAGGGGAAGAGAAAAATGAATGAGATTGCCAAACATGGCTGAAAACTTGATCTCAACCTGTATCATTTTCGTTTCCAACTTGAGTGATATGATACAGTGTTTGTAAATATGACCTTGGAAGTGATGGGGGAGTCCAGCTGCCACTTAGACTTTTCCCTGAGGCAAGTACAAAGTCAGCAGAGGTGGAAGGGTAAGTGAGGGGCTTTGAACTTTGGCTGTGCCACCAACCAGCTGTGCAAGCTCAGACTGGTTCTCTCAGTCCCTCCAGAAGAACAGTGGGAGGGCATGAGGGTTAGAATGTGTTTCTGAAAACACCCAAAGAATGATGACAGTCACCAAGGACTTTCGTCACTGCTCTGACAGCAAGCTCTATGCAGACACTTCTCAGGAAGTGAGAGCATGGGCTACCCCCTGAGCTGGAGACTGAAGCTTAGGCTTTCCCAACCGGCTTTTCATGGCCAGGGAGGGAAGGGCGTAGGAATCAATGATTGGGATGTTGCAGAGAGCCCCTGGCCTTCTCAGTCCTTTGGGGCTAGAACTGGGAGGAGAAATCACAGGGCACCTGCAAAGCACAATAGCATCTGGGAAAGTGCACTTTCTAACAAGGTCCTGGGTGACCAATAACCTTACAGCCACCTGATGGAATCAGACTCTTCCACAGCCACATTACCAAACCCAAGGTCAAAATGTTGGCAGGCCTATCATGTCCCCATTCTACTCCACAGGAACATGGTCCAGTGACATGGAGACCCCTTTCCTGTTGGGTGCTCTACAGCAGGACCCCCACTGAGTGACTGGCAGTGGCTGTCCCACAGCCCCTGACTTCAGTGCAGTGAACAGAGTGATTGGCGTGTGTCAGCCCCTCCCAACACCTCTCAGACCTGTGTAACTCAGGCTCAGCAGCCTGTCGGGATTTCTAATGACAAGTCTGTCTTGTGTAATTTAGGATGTTCTCTTGTTACCCAGAGGTATTTTTCTATGTTAGTGAAATGTATACTTTGTGTAATTTTGTACATTAAAACATATGCTTTTTTATCATAATTAAAGTTTTTTTTTTCTTTACAGCATTTGGTGATGGGTTTGTTACTAATGTGAAAGGCAGTGAGTTTAGGATTCACCTTTTCTGGTGGGGAATAAACTATTTTCTTGTGAATCAAATCTACTTGGTACAAACAATGTGGGTAATATCCTTTACTACCATGTTAATTTCTTATTGCCATGGGACTATGGGCAAAAGCCAACACCTCTACATTTATTTATAGACTCAAGATCCTCCTGACTCTATTTCCTGAGTGTTGAGCTTACAGGTGTGAGACCTCTGCTCCACACCACTCACGTATTTTCTAGTTATGGAAGCCAGAATCTGCAATGGCTCTCAACATCAAAGCTTTGGCAGAATGCATGTCTCTGGGTCCAGAGAAGAATACATCTTCCTGCTTGTTTTTGCATCTAGAGACCACCTGCCTGTTTTGGCTTGTGGTTTCTCCTGCATGGTCAATGGTAAGACAGCAGCATGAACTCTCTCTGCTTCTGTTCTTACATCACTGTCTTATTCTGTCCCTCATTCTTTGTTCATGTTTTGGAGCTACCCAGATATTCTATCATAGTCTTTTCATTTCCAGATCTTTAATTTAAGCACACCCCAGTCCCCATTTGGAATATGGGTTAACACATAGATCCCAGTTGAACATCATGATCAACCCAGAATCCGTTGTATTCTGGGTGAGAGCAGCAGAAAGAGCAGGAATTTCATACTCTGGATCTGTGCCTTAGGCTGGCCTGGCTCTAAATCTCTGGCATACTGCATGAAGCTCTCCTACCCTCTCTGAACTTTTCATGAGTCAGATGAGCACATGATTGTGTCTAGAAGATGTTCAAAGAGCACTATATATCTGACAACAATTACAACTCAATTTTCTGAAATACGGTTTTTCAAGAGAGGGTCTCACTGTGAGGCTCTGGCTGGCCTGGAACTCATTATGTAGACCAGGATGGCCCAAACTCACAGAGATCCACCTATCTCTGCTTCTGAGTGCTGGGATTAAGAGTATATGCTATTATGCCCAACAAAATATTCTTTAAATAAGTTGTATTTTTTTATTTGTTTTGTCTGTCTAAACAAAATACTTCTTGGAGTTGGCTTGTCCCCTCTGCTACACTGACATGTTCCTCTCTGCCAGTGCCCTGGAAGGCTTCACAGTCTCCAGGGCAAGCTCAAAGTTGGGTCTTTTCACATTTACGATGTAGTTAATTTAGAATGACTTTTTCCTTGGAGGACTGATAGGCACAGCTGTCTACCATAGGATGGACTTGATCTAGTACCCTAGATGCCATCTGCGGGTATCTGCTAGCCACTGTCTCTGGCTCCCTGCCAATGGCTACATTTTGAACTCAGTTTCCTCCTTTTCTGCCTTCAATTCTCTGCTCTACTTAACCTTCCTGGCTTTGAGTAGAAGAGATGTTATGGGAAGGCCTCTAACAACTTCGACTGGGTATCTTAGCCTAGTTCCTCCCTGGAAAACACATGCAAGATAGGTTTACAGTGCGGCCTTCTCTGCACAACAGCCTGAAGGTGGAGGTGGCAAGGGTGCCACACATCATGGCTGAAGGAGCCAATGGCATGTAAGATAGTGCATTGACTATCACACAGTGAGCGAACAATGTGAGTATTGGATTTTCCCCTCTGCAAGGAAGGGAGGAGAGATGACTGGCCACACAGTGACCACACAGTGGTGTCCCAAAGCCTTGTGTTGGTTGATCACTGCCAAAGGTTACATCAAGGACAAAAGTCTATCCTCCAGCCCACACTCATCTGCCTGGACTTCCTTCATTCTTTTTTCTCTCCTCCCCCAATGGGACCACATCAGTCAGACATTTTGGGGAGAGCAAGGGCCAATGGTTAGGATGCAGCCTCAGCGGGAGACTGTTTTAACACTCCAACAGCCTCCTTGCCATCTGTGCCTCTAGGCAGAGGATTTAATCTCTTTCAGCCACATTTTCCTAATCTGGAAAATGAGGCTAAAATAATACTTTCGAGCTTGTCGGGGGGTGGGATGGGGCACAAAGCATTCCTGTTGGTAGGATGCCCCAGGCAGGTGGTAAACACTTGGTAAGTGGGAAATGATTTTCTTTGCTTGTGCCTAAACATAGCATTTCCTCATATTGCACCCTCTAGTTTCACAAACTGGCTGGCTCTTTCTCATGAGGGAATGGGCTTTCTTTTCTTTCTTAAAATTCTCCCTCTTTCTTTCTTTTTTTTTTTTCTTCCTGGATCTTTGTGAGTTTATGTTCACCATATACACTCGGGAGGCCATGGAGGCCAAAAGAGGGTATCGTGTCCCTTTGAACTGGAGGCATTTGTGAGCTTCCATGTTGGTGTTAGGAACAGAGCTTGGGTCCTCTGTAAGAGCAGTAAGAGTTAATAACTGCTGAGTCCTCTCTCCAGCCCCTTTCCTTTCTTTCTTTTAAAAGATTTATTTCATTTTTATTTATGTGTATATATCTGTGTGATTGTATGCTGTGTGTGTCTGTGTGTGTGTTTGTGTGTGTGTCTGTGTACAGATGCCTGTGAAGGACGGAGATGGATGGTGTAGGATCCATTAGGGTTGAGGTTACAGGCAATTGTGAGCCAGCTTACAGGGGTGCTGGCAGTCAAACTCAGGGCCTCTGCAAGGCAGCATGTTTACTAGCTAAGCATCTCTCCAGGCCTGGGATTTTCCTAAAAAGGTTTCCATTCACGATTGTTTCCCTAAAATTTTGACTGTAGAATCAAGCATGGAGTAGAAAGCTTGACCTTGAAAGTCCTGACTAACTCAGATGCTTGGAGTCTCTGTTATTTTGTTGTGGTTGAGACAGAGTCTCACTATGTAGCTCTGACTGTCCTACAACTAATTATGTAGGCTAGGATGGCCTCAAACTCCAGAGAGCTGCTTGCTTCTGAGTGCTGGTATTAAAGGGGGGCACCACTATACCAAGATATCTATGCTATATGGATTATATCACCGGTGTCACTTGTGAGGCTCTGGATTAGATCCTCTGTGGAATTCAGCATCGGATTTTCTAGCATATGTCATGTTGGAGATTATATTTCAAAGCTTTCAATTAAAGACTGAGGACACTTGGAGTTCAATGCAACCTGGAGCCCAGTGAACTAAATCTGCATGGGATGTAGGAAGAAGCGGACAGAAGAGCCAGGGTATGGGTGAGGTGGGTGGAAAACAGTGTAGCTACTAGGATAGATACTTACTGGGGGCAAGGACTTTATAAATACTTTCCGGTGTCCCTAGCATTAGTCCCTGTGAAGTATAGGTGAAGGGAGAAAGGAAGGAGCTTGCTAGCTGCTCACTGACCTCAGATAATCATGAGGTTCCTGGCAGACAGAGGCAGCCACATGAAATGGAATGGACAGGGAGCTGTTTGCTTCTCTCCTCAAACTCACAGCTGGAGTGTCCTACTTGCAGCACAGACTGGCCGGCTTCAGGTTTCAAAGGAAACATGAGATGTCAGCTGATGCCATAGGCCCTACGCAACAAAGTCCTCAGGTTGTGACCTCAACAGTCATTTTACTGTCTGGGGTTTTCCAGACAGTGGTTTACAGAGCTCTCTGACCTCTGGTGGGGTGCTGAAGGGACAGCTCCTAGCCCAGGGAAGCTAACTTAGGGACAGATGCTGAATCAGGCTTCCTACTGCTCCCCACTAATCCTGAATGCCAGTTTGGACTTGTCTGCCTAGGGGGCTGGCAGATTGCGAGCCTTCCATCCAGAAAGCACAGCTGAGATTCCTGGATCTCCAGGGAATCTCATGACACTGCTAGAAAGCCATGAAGAAAAGAGGGGGCGGTGATTGCTGCCTGGCCTCTGAGGAGACCCCAAGTCTCCACTCTTCTTCCTGGTTAGAGGAAACCCCAAATCTCCAGGCATTAAGCTCCAGGTATAGCTAGAGTGGGCTGAACTCAGGATGTGGGAAGTGCCCGGAGATGGAGGCTGTTGTCTGTCTGGGTGATTGCCTGCTGCATATGTGTCTGTCCCCAAAGCATTTTTAAGGGTTCTAACTTCCTTTGTGTCGTGGGGGTATGCGTGGGTTTCCTGTCAGTAGTCCTCAGGCCTGTGTGTGGAGGAGCCTTTGGTAGTGGTGTGGAAATTCTCCATCCTGAGACGTTGCTGGGATGTGTATCCAGCAGGAAGGTGGGTCACTCCTTCAGCTGCAAGCATCTGGGATTTTAATAGCATCGCCATCCCCTTGCTATGGGACAGAGACCTCTGTTCTGGAGTTGGGGTTCTGCAGGCTACATTGTATAATTTCTCCTTAGAAAGAGGACTCTTGAGGGCAGGGATTTCATCCTACTCTTAGCCTAGTCCCCAGCACCTCCCCTACTCCCCTAGTGCCAGGCCCTGTTAGGCAATCAGTGTAGTGGTGAGCGAGCCGACGGGGAGTTAGATGTGTATGCCTTTGACTGTGCATCTAATTTCATTTAATTTTCGTATGATTTTGGTGTGGTATGTGTTGCCTGACAGTGAGAATCTGGAGAGAGAGAGAGAGTGTGTGTGTGTGTGTGTGTATCCATGGTGTGCCAGCTGCGTGGGGGGGGGGGGAGGGAGCAGGGAGGTTACCTGACTTGGGTATGTACAGGCATGTCTGTATGTCTGTGCAACTCTCGAGTGTGAGGTGAAGCTTCCCCGTGTGTGTGTGTGTGTGTGTGTGTGTGTGTGTGTGTGTGTGTGTGTGTTGTACGCCCGCGCACCGCCCCCACCTCGTCTCTGCCCGCGCCCTGCGCTGCTCCTGGAGGCGGAGAGCCGGGTGCGTGGAGGGCACTGCGGCTCGGCCACCCTCCCTCCGCGCTGCGGCTCCCCACACGTCACCACCCTCCCTGCCCCTGCCTGGGTCTCCGCCTCCGCGGTCCTTTGTAGCTGGCAGCGGCGCCAGCCTTGGTCACCGTAGGCCCCGCCCAGGCCCGCCCAGGCCCCGCCTCCCGTGGGACACGCCCCGGTCCTTCCTCCCTCCCTCCCGGCCCGACCGCAGAAGCGCT